CAAATACATACACACATGTATACATGCGCGCACGACCACAACACACGTGTGTGTACATTAGGGATGTGAGTGGAAAGCTTTATGTATAAGTTGGAATAATGTGATGAAGGGTAAAGTGAAGTACTGGGAACGCTGCAACCAAACAATGTCAGAATCATACATATACGACGTCGAAACTGTTGTCGAGGTTCATCGATGGCTCAGTCGCAGGAAACCGGAAGTTCTTGTCAAAGGGTAATTTCTTTATTCCTCTATCTGTACCATCAATTATTTATATATGAAATTAATCTATATACAATATGGGAGGAATGAAGTTAAAGGATAAAAAATTATTAAAATCGAAATAAGAACTAAATGAACCTTAGCAAATTAATTAGACTAAAAGTTTGGTACTCTTATTTCACGATTTGCAGACTCTCAAAGCAAAATTTGTAAGTGAGATTCAATTTGTAAAACAAAAACTTGTAAAATATATCATCATTAGCAAAAAAAAAATTTCATGAATTAATGAATCTTACTTTCAAGTTCATATTAATTTTGAGAATTGCAGATAAGGGTATCAGAGTAGCAAATTAATGATTGGAAGTCCCCATATTTTTGACAAGTTTTCTTATTATAAATTAGTGAATTTCACTTGCCAATTCTTGTTTTAATAGTTGCAAATTATGAAATGACAATATTAAATTTCTATACCAGTTTGTAAACAATCTTTAGTCCTTATTTTAATTCAAATATTTTAATATTTATTTGATTTTAATTTAATCTTTTAATTATAAAAAAAGAAGTATATGGAAGATATGAACAATACAACTTATCTTAGATGTTGTGCAATATAAATATAACCATGTGTGCACACTTTACGTAGATTCAATCTGAAAAAAAAAAAACCTTTTGTTACATATTTACTATGTTTAATTTAGTTTATAAATAATACATGAATTGAATGCAACCTTTTGTTCGCAATATTTAATTTAGGGATAATGACTTTTGAATTATTATGTAACTTGCTATAAATTTTATAATGCATATTAATATATGTAATCAATTAGAATACTTTTAGCAACTTTTTCATAAATCGAAGACCTCACGCGTTATGGTCTATAAAAGAAATACTTAAATAAATAAGATACATCATGTTATTTATAATTTATTTAATAAAACATGACATTTAAATGATAATAAATATAAATTTATTTTGATATTAATGATAATAGAAAAAAATAAAAAATCAAATTTATACTCTATTATAAAAATAAAATCAATTAAAAATATTATACAATATTCTATTTAGATCACTTAAAACATTTTAATTAAATAGACTATAAATGACGTGTTACACTCAATTTATTTAAATATTTCTCTGGTCTATAAATATAATTGAAACTGGAATTTATTCCCCCATTGAGGCATTGAGTGACAATATTATTTTTATTTTCATGTTATTATTATTATTTTTTTTTTGTTTTTTGTAATGGAGACCGTGATTTGGCAGTCCCGTATGTGGCGACAGACACGTGGCTTAAAATATTAAACTTGACTGTTTCCTCTAAATGGCGACCTTGGTATGTGGATGGTCAAGTTGCCCGGTATGCTGCATATAATCTCACAAATGTATTTTAATTCTTGTTGATTTTAATTAATTAATTAATCTGTTCAACTCGGAAAATTTCTTTCTAAATCAATTAATCATTCCTTAATAGCTAGATTATTTGTCTATCTTTTGGCCTAGATATACCCGAAAGTATGATGAGGAGGCGAATGGATTTCGATTAACATATGCAACAGTGAAGGTAATAAACAAATCAAACTGTCTATTAGTATACATTCTTGTGATAAATAAAAGAGCATTTATTTTTATTTTTAAAATTTGATGCATACATATATTTCTTACATAAATATATTGTACTCAGGGTGCAGGTCACACGGCTCCCGAGTATGCTCGGAAAGAATGCTATGAGATGTTTCGATGGTGGCTCCATTTCTACCCTTTGTAATTCGTTTGAATTTCTTTTAAATTTTGTTTTCGAGAAGGTAGTGTTTGAATTAGTAAATTAAAATTTGGATTTGATATTAAAAATTTTACATTTTAAATCTCAAATTTAAAATTTATGTATACAAAATCTTTTGTATGGATAATTTTAAAAAATTTAAAAGAAACAGAGAGAGATGAGTTGAAATTCAAAACCAAAATAAAAAATTAAAAGTGATAAGTTTATTTATATATTTCAATCCATGAAATATAAAAAAAATTATACAAAAGTCATGAAGATATTAATAATAAAAGTATAAAGAAAATGAGATATTTAAAATAATTAAAATATGATTAAGATATATGAAAATTTTAAAATTACCAAAAAAAAAGTAAAAAAAGATAGATTCAGGTTTGATTCAAATTCAAATTCATAAAATTTTGTTTATCCAAATGCGAGATTTAATATAAATTTAAATTCAAATCCAAATTCTTATTAACCTAAACACACTGTATGAGTTTTCAATTTAGTTGTTGCAATAATCAGTATTATTCCAGTGCAAAACAAAAGTTAATTGGAAAAAACAAAGAGACTAGACCACGACTTTCTTCTAAAACCATTCCCATGCAACCTGTGGGAACTGCAATTGTACACAAAAATCGTGGTCGGCTCATAGTTTAGAAATTGCAGGATTGCAACTAGGCCTGACATATTAGTTTACCCAAGATACAAGCCCATTGATAAAAGAGTTCAAGCAACAAACTAAGTAAATGATAAATGACAAATCATACATCACGGCCCAATTAACTACATACACAAGACCCAATTACATATGTACACAGATTCTGGATATAGGCACAAGGACCTCTCAAGATGAAGATCACAAGCATGCAGGTTGAAGCAACAGTAACAGTTCATCGCCGAATTAGCTAGCTTCCTTTATGTTGATTTATTGATGACAAGTGTCTTTTTTTTTTTGGAGAGTTCTCATTGAAAGAAAAGTGCACTCAGAGCCCAATACGTTCTAAAATTATTCTGCAAGACTGGTGGCTCTTTTTGCAAATATATTTGAAAGAGAAAGACACAATTGTCTTTAATAACAAAAAGCAACAGACACAAGTTTATATTTTCAATTTAATGGATAATTTTAGATTCATATATTAATAAGTAATTGTTTATTAAAAGTAAAATTCTTATTTAGAGTTGACATGTTCATCTTGATCAAGTTAATAAATTTACAACTTAAAGTTTAAATATTCACAAGTATAGATTCATTTATTCATAAGTCGAAGTTTAAAATTTGACTTAATATATTCAAAAAAGTTTATCATAACATTAAATTTAGACTTTTATAATTACATGTTCACTAATTCACAATTTTAGATTAACATATTAATAAGTAATTATTCATTGATAGTGAAATCTTTGTTCGGAATTAACAAGTTCATATTGGCCAAATTAATAAATTCACAGCTTAAAGTTTATTAGATTATTCACAAGTGTAAGTTTATTTACTCACAAATTAAAATACAAAATTTATAACTTTATATATTCAGAATTAAAGTTTATCATAATAGCAAGCTCATGTATCTACAATTAGGTATTCATCAATTCACAATTTAAATTTACATATTAACAAGCAATTATTGTAAACCTAAAGTTGTTTATTTCTCCATGAGGGCAATTTTGTCTTTTTTCTTAGAACGTATTTTTTTAAAAAAAAACCCTTGAGCCTGCAAAATAATTTCATAATGCATTAGACCCTAAATGTAATTTTTTTTCCTTCAAGGACCCTTGATAAAATTCTTCCCCCTTTTTTAATATGATTTGATAACGTAAAGCATTGCGTGTGAATTAATTTTCTGTGTTACAAACCTCTTCAAAGAAGGCTATAGGATATTTTTGTCCGACAATAATATAGGATTGGATGCATTGTTAAAAAAAACCAAATCGAACCAGCCGATCAAACTGATTAAACCAAGTACCGGCACCTTTTTTGGTTCGAAACACACAAATAACCAAACTAAACATGAACCGACCTCAAACCGACAAACCAATCAAAAACCAATGAATTAGACTGTAAATTTAAAGCGGAACAGTAATAAAAAAAATTAAAAACTAGACTCAAGAAAAACATTTAGAAAACCTTTACGCGGGCCCACAACTGATAAGAGCCGTCACCCAAACGCATTGATGCAAATCCTCCATCCTATCCATTTTAGATGTCAGCATCCCTCTCCCCACGGCACCTACACGATGTGGGACTTTTTAACATATATAGCCAATTTTTTTTACAAGGCCGCTCATTTTTTTTAATTAAATTTTTTTCTCATTTTTATTCACTTTTTGTACTAGTTCCTTGAACTTAATTTCTCATGTATGAACATCTCTTTTATCTTTATTTTTCTAGCTATTTATTTATATTTTTATTTTATATGATATCATTTTAATTTACTTATAATTTATTTTTTAAAATTGTTTAATGACCAATCTTAGAAACAAACATGCATCCCTTTTATCTCTTTTTAATTAATTCTTTGAACTTATTTATTTATGTGTAAACATATTATTCATCTATATTCATCCAAATATTTATTGACATATCTTTTTAAACAAATTTAGTTCTTGCTTCCTCTAAAAAAATATGTGATCACCATCTTAAAAAAAAATAAACAATGATTTTGAAGCTAAAAAAAGAAAATTAATTTATACTTCTCTATAATATTTAAATATATTAATTTAATTATAAATGATTCAACCCGAATCTAATCACAATCTGACCATTAAATCGTAAATTAATACTTTAATCAATTCAATAACCGGTACAGTTTTCATAATATTAATTGGATGTGCCAGACATCATACTCAAATATGTGTGTGTATATATGTATGTATGTATGAATCTTGTTGGTGTGCCTGTGAGTCAAACTTAATGTATTGTGCAACTAACGGATGGGAAGGCGCCAAAAGTATTAGTTTTTTCTTTGAATTTTTGTTGGCCTCTCTCCCCCCCCCCCCCCCCCTTTTTTTTCAATTCCTCACTTCAGTGACCGAAACTCCACCACCCGAAACCACCAATCGGTCGTTAGAGCCCTCTGTAACTCGCCGCAGCACAATGAGATTCACTTCATCACTCACTATTACTCCAAAATGGCTGTGTCTTCGTTCGCTTCTCCTCTTAGTTTTGTCAGCCAACACTGCATTTTGTGGTGAACTTGTCAAGTCTTTGCCAGGCTTTGACGGCCAATTACCATTCAAACTTCAAACTGGGTATGCCATTTCACTACTCTGCTTTCTTATTACAGTACTCTTATGTTTTTGAGTGTTGTTGGTTATTGTTTGTTCTTTGGGCATTTCAGATACGTGAGTGTGAATGATTCCGAGCTATTCTACTATTTCATTGAGTCCCAAGGAGATCCTGAAACAGATCCATTCTTCTTCTGGTTTAGTGGAGGCCCTGGTTGTTCTTCCTTCAACGGACTCGCTTATGAAATTGGTTCTTTTCCTCTATCGATCTCTTTTTAATTATTTCTCATTCTTATTTGCTTAATTTCCATGAACAAAGCTTACATTTTGTGCGCAGGTCCAATACAGTTTGATATTGACAACTATAATGGCGGGTTACCAAGATTACTCTATTACCCATATACTTGGACCGAGGTCATTCCCTTGTCCATCCATTTTCAAAAATATTCATATATATTGAACTCAACATATCTGATATCTTTTTCCTTTTTTTAACGCAAGAAACCCAAGGCCAAAACATATATAATATCATGACCCTAAATTATAATTTTAAACTTTTTTTCAACCAAACGTTATCCAATATGTGTGATGGGACGTTGCGGAATTACTTGGATTTAATATTTTTATTTTATTAAAATGATTTTAGAATTTGATTTGAATAAATATAATCTCTTATATTATTAAAATATCTTTTAAATTATTTTAGAGTATTTAAATTTATTTATTAGGATTTACATAATATTTTGCTTTTAATGTATTGATTTCTAGAATTACAGTTGAGGCCTATATATATAGCATCTTAACATGTTTGCTTTGTATGCATGTTTAAATACATATATAAAAATTGATATTGCTTTCCTCTAATCATAAGTTTTTCTCTTCTCTATATTCTTTTCACTCTCTTTTTCATTCTCACATTGTACATCAATGTGACTTTTTTAAGTATTTTAACATTAAAACACACCTAACTTTCTAATCATAAGTATTGCAGACAGCTAGTTTTGTATTTGTAGACTCACCAGTGGGTACTGGTTTTTCCTATTCAACATCATCGAATTGGAAAAGCTCTGACACTTTATCAGCAGAACAAGCTTATCAATTTGTGAGAAAGGTTGGTGTCAACTTAGTTATTTGCTTGTGAGAAAGTCAACTTCATGCAATATAATTTGATGAGATTGAATGAAGTTAGAGATAAGTTTTGCTAAAAGTAAAAATATATATGTTTCAGTGGTTGGAAGAACACCCAAAATATCTCCATCTTCGATTGTTCATTGGAGGTGATTCTTACTCTGGCATGATCGTTCCATTAATTACCCAAAAAATTGTGCTAGGTAAATACATAGTTCATTTTCATTTAAAGCTAAGATTCATATATTATCATTTATCCAGCAATAGTAATTTTTGTGACTCGTGATCATATATATGCTACTTTAACTTGTGAGCATGGTTTACAGGTAATGATGCAGGCTTGAAGCCTCATTTGAATCTCACGGTACATCAAATTTACAAATAAAATTAAATGTTAGAATTTAGTGTCATAATTTTTTTTAATTGTTAAAATTATTTCAGGGATATTTGGTTGGGAGCCCTATCACAGACATGTATCTGAACAGTAATTCAAGATTTATATTAGCTCATCGATTGGCTCTTATATCAGACCAACTCTATGAGGTCATTTAGCAAAACACACACACTGCACACACACTTCTAATCCATTTAATAATTTGCTTATCATTTTGGTAATAATGATCTGTTTGTTTACATACTTCAGAAACTGAAATCAAGTTGCAAGGAGGATTATGTGTATGTGGATCCAAACAACACGGCATGTCAAACTGCTATCTCTCAATACGAGAAGGTGATACATATTCAAACTAATTCCCTCAATTAAATACAACTTAAGTAATAAAGCAAAAGTAGAAAAATATTGATGATATTTTTTATGGGATATTGTGCAGAACGTACAAGAAATATGGAGCAATAACATATTGGTACCGAATTGTGCGTTTGCGTCTCGTAATCCTTACGGGCAACGAAGACTTCAAAAGCCACATCAAAAATTATCCTCTGATTTATGGTGTTGGGTAATTAAACTATTTTCCTTTGAATCGTCTTATTCTTGTTTCTCTTAAACCAAATTTTACCTTCACGTTATTTGCATCGATATATCTTTTTATAAACAAATTGTATCGAGATTTTTGTGTAGGCTTTCAACTACACACTATCATACCATTGGGCAAATGATCCAAGCGTACAAGAAGCCTTACATGTTAGAGAGGTACATGTGACTACACACACACACACACACACACACACACACGTATACAGGCACGCGTGCGCACAACACACACGTGTGCGTACATTAGGGATGTGAGTGGGAAGCTTTATGTATAAGTTGGAATAATGTGATGAAAGGGTAAAGTGAAGTACTGGGAACGTTGCAACCAAACCATGTCAGAGTCATACATATACGACGTCGAAACTGTTGTCGAGGTTCATCGATGGCTCAGTCGCAGGAAACTGGAAGTTCTTGTCAATGGGTAATTTCTTTATTCCTCTATCTGTACCCTTGCTTTTAATTATCGTCAATTATTTATATATGAAATTAACCTATATATAATATAGGAGGAATGACGTTAAAGGATGAAAAATTATTAAAATCGAAATAAGAACTAAATGAACCTTAGCAAATTAATTAGACTAAAAGTTTGTTACTCTCTTTTCATGATTTGCCAACCCTCAAAGCAAAAATTTGTAACTGAGATTCAATTTGTAAAGAAAAACTTGTCAAATATATCATTATAAGGAAATTTTTTTTTTTCATGAATTAATGAATCTTACTTGCAAGTTCATCTTAATTTTGAGAGTTGCAAATAAGGGTATCAGAATAGCAAGTTAATGATTGGACGTCCCCATAAGTTTGACTAGTTTTTTATTATAAATTAGTGAATTTCACTTGCCAATTCTTGTTTTAATAGTTGCAAATTATGAAATGACGATATTAAATTTCCATACCTATTTGTAAAGAATCTTTAGTCCTTATTTTAATTCAAATCTTTTAATATTTATTTGATTTTAATTCAATCTTTTGATCCTTTAATGTCAATTTAATTTTTTTTTAAAAAAAGAAGTGTATGGAAGATATGAACAATACAACTTATCTTAGATTTTGTGCAATATAAATATAAGCATGTGCGCACACTTTACGTAGATTCAATTTAAAAAAAAAAACATTTTGTTACATATTTACTATGTTTAATTTAGTTTATAAATAATACATGAATTGAATGCAACCTTTTGTTCGCAATATTTAATTTAGGGATAATGACTTTTGAATTATTATGTAACTTGCTATAAATTTTATGATGCCTACTAATATATGTAATCAATTAGAATACTTTTCGCAACTTTTCCATAAATCGGAGACTCCACGCGTTATGGTCTATAAATATAATTGAAACTGGAATTTCTTCCCCCATTGAGGCATTGAGTGACAATATCATTTTCATTTTCATGTTATTATTTTGTTTTTTTGTATTTTTTTGTTTTTTTTTTTTTTGGCAGTGGAGACCGAGATCTGGTAGTTCCATACGTGGCGACGGACACGTGGCTTAAAATATTAAACTTGACCGTTTCCTCTCAGTGGCGACCTTGGTATGTCGATGATCAAGTTGCCGGGTATGTCTACATATAGTCTCACAAATCTATTTTCATTCTTGTTGATTTTAATTAATTAATCTTTTCAACTCAAAAAATTAAATTTCTTTCTAAATGAATTAATCATTCCTTAATAGCTAGATTTTTTGTCTAGATATACCCGAAAGTATGATGAGGAGACAAATGGATTTCGATTAACATATGCTACACTGAAGGTAATAGAGACATATTAATTTGTGTATTACATATTTTTGTGAAAAGAGTATTTTACAATTTAAATTTTTTTTTTACTCTTCAAATTATATATCTGAAATGAATATATTGTTTAGGGTGCGGGTCACACAGCTCCAGAGTATTCTCGTAAACAATGCTATGAGATGTTTCAAAGGTGGCTCCATTTCTACCCCTTGTAATTCGCTTTCTAAATTTTTAGATTTTGATGGTCCAGTTTTCAACTCAGATGTTGTAATAATCATGACTGGCAATTACCAAAAACACAACATGAGAGATACAACTAATATGTGCTTGCATGTCGTTTTTATTTTTTAAATCATGACCAGCGTATGAGTTTTTATTTAATAATAAATATGGGAGATTAAAAAAAATAAGCAGTGAATAATTTGAGAAAAAATTGAAAGTAATATAGTAAAATAGTCATCCACCACTCTGAACTTATCATTTATCTTTCGGGGTAATATGGTAATTTGGTAAAAAAAATTAATGCCAAATAAATCTTTGGAAATTTTAAAATAATTATCTCATTTGGTGGTCTTCTTTTAAATTTTGTCATTGGCTTATCTGAGAGGGAAATTATTTGTCATTTTTCCAAATGACAAAGTCCACAAATAATAAAAATATGAAAAGGAGAAAACATATAACATTTTTCAAGCTTAAATGGACAAATTTAGGCTCTATTATTATTTTTGTCCACTTTTCAAGTTCAAAAGACTTGTCAAAGGACATGCTAGAGACACTACTAAAAATGTATAAATTCGTGAGAGAATTTAATAAGTGATTATTTATTTCTCTTTAAAATACTAAATTAGTAAGAAAATTAATGAGGGATGTTAATTTGATTGCTTGACTTAAAATTAGTGAAAAAAATAGAAAGGAATTATTGATCTCTCTCTAAAATAAAAAAATTAGTGAGGAATATTTATAGCTCCCTAAAATGAGAAAATTAACAAGAAATTTTGTATTTCTCTCTAAAATAAAATAATGAGTTAATATAAACAATAAATTATGAATTCAAGGGTGATTTAAACCCCATATTATTAATTGATATATTTTAAATCTTAAAAAACTAAAGTCAGCACATTTTAAAACTAATAGCAGTTACTTTTTAAATATATGGCAAATAAAGAATGTGGCCCTCACTATGTTTAAAAAGTAATGGCTATTAGTTTCAAATTAACAGTGGGAGCGAGAATACACTGACTTTAATTGTTTCAAAATATATTGATTACTAATATAGGATTCAAATTACCCCGGTTCTTATAGTTTAAGGTTCAAATTATATATTAACCATAAGATAATTAGTAAAGAATTTAATGAGAAATTCTATCACTAGCTAATTACTATAAAAAATTTAACTTTTATAATGACTTTTAATTATATATTTAATTATTTTTATTTAAAACATAAAAATAAAATTTAAAAATTAACTAAAATATTCTTTTTTTCATAATAAAATTATTTATTATTTAATATTTGATTTATTTTAAGTTCATTTTCTTAAAAAAATATTATTATATTAAAAATATAATATAAAGAGTCATATAAATATAAATATCAATTTTTTATTATATTAATAATTAAAATTAAAATATAATCTACATGTGTATTTTTTATGAAATATTATTTGATATATATGTGTAGTTAAATAATATATGTTTAATTTTGCATATAATAACTGCTTGTACATTTCAATTCAACTGATAAAAAAAGAGTATATGAGGCTTGGAAGATAGGAGATTAAGAGTTTAAGTTTTAGCCTTAGTATATAAACATAATAAATTTGTAATATGGGCAATAAGCAAGTGACGCAGTGCGAGATAAAGGGTGGCATGACATGAGTCGTTGCACACAAAGTAGGTGACGAGGCATGATGTGATAGGTGAAATGGCATGAGCCAACTTACACGTGGTGAGTGATGAGACACGAGGTAATAGGTGACATGTCATGAGTTGACACATACATGACAGGTGATGTAGCATTAAATGTCATTTTTAAATATAGACATGTTTAGTGAGAAAACTTTATTAAATTTAATGAGGAAATATATTTTGTCACTAACATTTCGTCACTAAATTTAATGAGCCTATTTTTTGTAACAAAATTAGTAAGAGATGAAATCCTTTACTAATTCTCATTTAGGCAAATAATTTTTTTTCTATCGATGGTATAATGAGAATTATTTAAAAGTTTGTATTTAATAGGTAATGCTTAAATTTGATTATGAAATGATCGCACATTGTTGCAATTCTCACATCTTGGTTGAAAATGAAGTTTTTAATTACAAGAGATGTCAGACACATAACAACCAAGTGCGGTAAGTTTGATTTTTCTTTTGATAACAAGTCAATTTTTTTTTTGTGGAAAAAACTTTGATAAATTGGGCCTCAGGAATTTACCAAAATGAGTTAAATGGTTATCACCTACACTAACCTTAGTTTGATTTAGTGGAGTTGGATATTGATGATTTAACGTTGAACTTGATCTTGTTCAAATTGCTTTGTGAATTAAGCTCGACCTCTTTTAAAATAAGATCAGCCCAATTTTAGATTTCATCTTAACCACATGAAAAACAACCCCAATTTTGAGAACCAAGCAATGTATTTATCCCAACTAAATAATTTTTTCTAGCCTTGCATAATTATTTAAGAAATGATGAGTTATCCGCCTCATAATTTGTTAATAACATAATTTTATATTGGTTGTGTGTGTGTGTGTTTTTTTTCATTTTTGACCTAAATGGTTGATATATTAATAGGTTTAAAAAGCTTAAAAGGGCAAAAATACTCACAAGTAGTCAGCCACAGGCACTCCGTATCCTAAAGTGAGGAAAAGGGTAAAAATACTCGTAACGTTACATGGATGGGTGCAAAAGTAATCAAACTATTAACTTTGACCTAACACCGTTAACTTTGATCGTTAAATACTAGTTGTGCATGTCACGTAACAATCTCTACTAATGTGAACTAATAAAGGGCAAAAATACTCATAAAGTTGTCGACCAAGAGCAAAAATATTCACAAAATTATAGGCCAAAAGCAAAAATACTTATAACATTACCAGAGTTGATGCAAAAGTGACTAATCCATTCAATCTCTTAAATGCTGACCGTTTAGCTAACACTTAAGTAGAAGTTGACTTTTTTTTTATTGATGTAAATAAAAAATTCCCAGATGAATTTTTAGAGATGTTGATTTATCATCGTATGAATACCTGTAATGTTACTTTAGTTGGTGTAATATTGATCAATCCGTCAAACTCAATGTCACATAATTTTTTTTCCATCGCCACGTATCTTACCCTTACTTTCTCCCCCTCCACTCATTTTATTGTTTGCAAAACCTAATATTTAATATAGTGAGATAGGTTATCCAAAATCAAAGATTGAGACTGTCATATTCTCACTCCATTAAACCTAATTAATCAATAAAACTCATAGTAATCAAATGATTAACTCAAAGAGTAATTATCAAGTTTAGTTTAAAAGCAACGAATCCTAAATTTTTTAAATAACAATGAGTTTATATCAATCAATAACCTTTATATCAGATAAAAATAAATTTCGAAAGCATGAGATACCTCAGAGGAGTGAAAGAAATTGAAAACAATTAAAAAACAAAACATGTGCTGTGATACAGGGCAATGCACCACAGCTCGTGCACGCAACACCACGACGTGTTGCTCTCTGTGTCACGTGCCGCGACATGTTGTATGAAAATTCAACTAATTTTGTTGTCATTTGACAGCAAAATTGGAAAATTTTGACACGCCTTGATTCCCTGTCTAACAATCGAATGACGTGATTTAAGTGTTTATGAAAAGCTCTTTATATAAACTAGTTAGTGGTATGGGTTTTACTTCCAAAACAAGTTACATTAAAAATTGGACACCCAAATGCATTTTAACTACTTTTCATAACTTTCACACAAAATGAGTGTCCAAAACCCTCAACAAGTGCTAAAAGCTTTTCCTAATACCTAGATCATATTCATTGGATCTAGGATTACCAATACAACATGTCACAAGCACAAAAACAACAGTATAACAAAAATTTACTTCTCAACCTCATTTTACCAAAAATAGAGGGGGAGGTAAATTGTTATCACTTTGCATCCAATTAAATCCAAACATATTCAAATCATCATTTCTACACTTGCACTAGTATTTTGACCCTATAAACATATATATCTCAGTATACACAAATACTCAAGGCTCAAAATACAAATCTAGCATTTACAATAACAAAATAATGCAAGTGTGATGGCATGCATCCTAAAATTGGCATTTATATACTATTACACAAAATAAATTTAAACCAGAGGCATACAGTAGGAATATGCTAATCCTTGGCCTCTTGAGCCCTCTCTCTCTGTGCACTAGAGCTAGAGCTTGAAAAGTGTTAAATGAAAGGGGTGAGTCTAGCCACTTAGTAACCATAGTTAAATCTATCCTATGCAGTTATATATCAATTATAAACCAAGTACATATATAAGGAACCAAATATGTAAAACATGCTCACACATATCATATATTGTCATTTATGATTTAATAACTTCTTTATCTCACATATATTAGATGCATTGTCACCATATTCTTAGACATGTGACCATGACCCATTATTCACGCGACTTGCTATGACTTAACACGTGTGACACATCATATATTTACTTGGGCAATGATCAACCAAGTTTATATCCTTCTTATTTTTTTCAGATTAAAACCGTAGGCTATAACATTAAATACGGCCCCATTCATGTGACTAGACTACCCAAGCTCATCAATCATGAGATATGACTCGGCTAAAGATCGCATGACTTACTCTTGGACCACGGCTTCCTCATTCTCAAATCTCTAGGGTGTTTCATACCCTAAACTATTTTTCTCTTTGAACTAATGGAGATAGCTAGGTTCTAGTCCCTCCACAAACTATAGGAAAGTCCTTCGATAAATTGTGGGACAAGGCTATACCCCTGTGCATCGGAGGGCAGCCTAAATACCATGTGAATTTTTTTCTCTACTCTCAATCCCTGAGCAAACTCCCGCCCACTGATCATACCATAGACAATACTCACTCTTTTTACTTTTTCTTTTACTCATTATTAGAATCAACACATTGAGCTCATAACTAAGTGCTACCCAAGTGTACATCAATTTCTTATCCTTCACTCATATCACATACACCTATTTTTCAATTACAATTGCTCATCTTTATCAAATCAATCAATTACTACTCATTTATAACACATCATGACATTTATCTTTCTAAAAATATATGTATATTCATAGTTCAAAAACATCTTGATTTGACATTTGCAT